GTGTGTGTGTGTTTGTGCGCGTGTGCATGTGTGTCAGCATGTGTTTGTGAGGGTGGTGGGTGCGGCACTCCACAGGGCGATCAACAGGTTGGCGGGGAAAGGGACCCCCCCTTAGGAAGCAGCGGGGCAACAGCGCTGCTCAGCAATTGCAGGCATGGAGTGCTTCCGGCATTCCCACGCGGCGGCAGCAGGCCAAGGGGCGCTCGTCAGCCCAATGACCACACACTGTGAGAAGAATGCACATGCACGCACACACAAACACACACGCACACATGGGCGCACGCAAAACGCCACCTGTTGAAGTCCCGCGCCAGCGCCCACAGCAGCATCCCCCAGCACCGCGCCGGCGGCGCGGCGCCCGCATCCGACGGCGGCGCGGCGCCCGCGACCGCCAGCCCGCGCCCCTGCGGGGGCCCCAGCGGGTCCCGGTCGGCCTCGCCGCGCCGATCGATGAGGGGCTGCGCGTCGAGCAGGCTGCGCCGCCGCAGGCCAGGTGGCAGCTCCCTTGAGGGTTTGGGCCGCGCAGCAGCGGCGTCGGAGCTGTCGCCGTCGACGATGGCGGCGGCTGTGGTGAGGTTGGCAGGGTGGCTGCTCGAGCCAGCAGGGTGGCTGCTGCCGTGCAGACCGGGGCTGCTGGCGTTGGCGGCGCGGCCGCCGCCATGGCCGCCGCTGACGTTGGCGGCGCGTCGGCTGATGCTGGGGCCGGGGCCGCCGGTGTTGGCGGCGCGGCCGCCACTGGGGCTGCCGCCGCCGCTGCGGCTGCTGCTGTTCGAGGCGCGGCCGCTGGCGTTTGCGGCTCGGCTGCTGGAGGGCGCCGCGGCGTCCGCGGCCGCCGCCTCGGAAGCAAAATACGCCGCGACAGGGTCGCCGGCGCCGCCGCCGCCGCCGCCGCCCACGCCGGCGACGCCGCCGGGCCCGATCCCCGTCAGCGTCATGAACCGCAGCTCCAGAAACCGAGGCTCCGCGCCTGCCGGCAGCCGCAGCAGCGGCGCCGCGGGCGCCGCCGCGCCCGCCCCCAGGTCGACCGCCGTGCCGCCCTGCGACACGCCGGCAAGGGCCGCGGGTCGCGGCACGCGCGCGCCGCCGGGCGGGGGCCAGCCGGCGCGAGGGTTGGGGGCAAGGCTGGTGAGGGGCTCGACCAGCAAAAGCACGAAATCTCTGTCTGCCGGGGCCTTGATACTCTCTGAGAGGGCGGCCTGCGGGGCGCCGCGCACAGCGCAGGGGGGGGGGACGCGACGTGCGCCAGGTGTCAGGAGCCGGGCGCGGCGTGAGGGCACGCAAGGTGTGGGCGTGTGGGGGGAGCTTGAACATCGCACCGGCAGCCGCTTGCCCAGGGGTCTGTGGGTTATCAACGCGATGTGTCACGAGGATCCAGTCTTTGCAGGAGCTGCCCCACAGGTGGCCGCACGGATCAGCAGCGTGAGCAAAGTTGCGTCGCCCCGCCGCAGCTCCCCCTTCCTTCCCCCGCGAGTGACAAGGCCGCGGGCCGCCGCCCCCTGCACCTGCAGCTCGCGCGTGTTGCGGACGCTCTGCAGCCGCGGCGGCCGCCGCGCGGTCGGCTGCAGCGGCGCCGCGACGCGGCCGTCGGGCGCCGGCAGCGGGAGCTGCGGCGCGACGCGGTTCTTGACTTGCAGCTGCACGTTTTCGAAGGTCAGGCCCTTGCCCCGCAGGTCCACAATTGTGTAAGCGTCGCCCGAATCGTTCAGGTTGCGGACCTGCGCGGCGCGACGCGGCCACAGCGCGTCAAGCTTAGGGGGTGGCTGGAACGGGGGCCTTGCGGCCGTCCGCGGGTGGGGACTGCCGCGGGTGGGGAGTGCCGGCGGCGGTTCACAGGGAGGGAGGGCGGCGGCGACCCCGGCGGGTGCGGTCGAGGGGTAGTCAACAGAGTCAAACGCAGACGCTGCAGATCAAGGCGGCAAGGGATCAGACCCAGACGGGGGCAGGGGATCAGACACGGGGGGCAAACAAAACCAAAGGGCCTCCTCCCAGCCCGACAGACAACGGACTCGTCCGTCTCTACCAAAGGCCGGGGCGGCGCGGCACCTTGTAGGCTGTTATGCCAATCTCGGTCCTCATCCAGTCGACCGATGGCACGCCCGCCTCAAACATGGAGGCCCAGTAGATGATAAAGTCAATCTGCAGGGGTAAGCGGCGGCGGCGGCGGCGCCGGCGGGGTCTGGTCGGCGTTTGCGCGCGACTGCACCTGCCATTCGCCACGCGCTCACGCGCGCGAGCAGTCTGCTGGCAGCGCGGCAGGCCCAGCGCCTGGTGCGCCAGGGGGCGCGGCTGGGGGCGAGAGGTCCGGAGTGGTCACGTTGCGCTCTTTGGAGCGCCCCAGAGACGGCCCTCCCAAACCCGCGCGAGAGGCGCGGTCCTGGCACCCTGCATGTCACAGGGCTGATGCACCCCCGCCAAACAAAGACAAAAAACATAACGCGACAGCCGCACCTCTGAGCGCGGTATGATGGCGGTGCAGTTGCGCAGCGTCAGCCGCCGCTCGTTGCGGTTGAACCAGAACGGCCAGAACGACACCGTGCTCTGCAGGTTGACGCCCTCCGCCGTCGGCGCCGAGATCACGTCCCCAAACCCGAGGTTCTCCAAGATCAGCGAATCCAAGGTGAGGTTTGCGAACGGCCCCGAGGCCGCGAACTGGTTGACCCGCATGCGGAAATCGATAGAGGTCGGGTCCCGCGCGTGGCCGACGAGGATCACGGGCCGCGCGACCGTGATGTTGTCGTGCGCCGCAAGCATCTTCGCGCTCGCCGCGCTCGCGCTCGCGAGCCGCACGCCGGCGGCCGCGCCGGCGCCGGCGCCGGCGCCGCCGTCCGCGGCGCTCGTGCCGCCGCCGAGCGTGACGTTGCTCCCCAGGTACACCAGCAGCGGCTCCGGCGTCTGCACCGCCGCGTGCCACCTCAGCAGCGGCACGAGCGTCTCGTTGGTTGCAGACAGCAGCACCGGCGCCGGCGGCTCGAGGGGGGCGCCGGCGAGCGGCTGCCTCAGCTGGTTGTCGCCGGCGCCGACGAGCAGGATGCCCACGTTGGTGGCGCGCGCCCCTGAGGGGGCCGTCCACTCGTTGAGGTGCAGGAACGTGCGGTTGTCCTGCGTGCCGCGGTGGGTGGGTCGCAGGGCCGTCATGGGGGCAGATTCAGGGTTCAGGGCGGCGCAGGTCAACGGTTGGGTGATTGGGCGGCGGGTCGCTTTCGGCGGGAGCACGTCGGGAAGGGCCGAGGGTGCAGAGGCGCCCCAGCGGCAGCGTACGAGGGGATGGTGGCCCAAAAACGCGCCGGGCCGCAGGGGCTGCGTCCGCTGCGTGCAGCGGCGCAGCCCCGGCCGCGACCTGACTCCGCCGAGGCTGCCCGCCCTGCGCCGCCCCCGCTCACCGTGTAGAAGCGCGTCTGCGTGCGCCCGCCGGCGGCGGCCCTCTGGGACAGCAGGAACGCTGTGTACTGGCCCAGGACCTTGGCGCTCGTGAACACCAGCGTGTCCACCAGCCACAGGCTGGCCGCGCGCGACGTGTCCAGCCACCGCGGGCTCAGCGCGCCGCGGGGGTCCGAGGGGGGCCCCAGGGTCGCGTTCACGAGGGTGACGCGCTCCAGGCGCACGTTCTGGCCTGCGTTTTGGACGGGGCGGGCGGGGTCGCGGGGTCGTGCGGGGTCAAGGCGCTGGGCCCCCCGCTCCCCGCAGCGAGCACGGGCGGCGCGTGCGGCCCGCGCCGCCGGGGTGCCAAGGGCGTGCATGGCGGCAAGGCGCCGAGAGGCGGCGCATGCTGGGCCCTAGCACAACGCGCCGACGCGCACCCATGCGCGGCGCCCGCCGGCTGCCCCACCTTTGCCGGCCACGAGGGTCGCAACCTGGCCCTCCATGGGCTGCGCCGAAACCACCAACGGCGGCAGGCCGTCCAACAGGCCGCTGGTCGACCCGGAGAAGCCGCTGCGAGAGGGACGACGCACGGGGGGAAAGGCGGGCGCGAGGGCCGGTC